AGCAAAATGTCCGCCATCTTCACCGGATGCAGCCGCGGCCGACACGGCGGCCGGGGCCGCGCCGCGCCGCCTCCGCGCGACGGGCGGCTCCGCGGCGGGGCCGGGACGGCGGCGCAGGGCGGCGGGGAGGGGGCTCGGTTACCTTGATGCAGTAGGGCGGCTCGTCGAAGGTAACCAGCATGTACCTGTCGCCGCGGCTGGCCGGGTCCCGGGCCCGCAGCTGCGGAGAGAGCGGAGAGAAACGGCGTGAGCGGGCGGACGGGGCGGACGAGGGCGGCGGCGCCCGGCCCCGCACTCACCTTCATGAAGATCTCCACGGCGCCCTTGGCAATGTCCAGGTAGCTGGTGCCTAGATACGCCCGCTGGTTCATGGAGGCGGACGTGTCTATGAGGAAGAGGAGGATCGGCATGGTCCAGGCAGAGCGCCGGCCCGCCGGGCACCCTGCGGGGAGGAGGGAGCGGGCAGCGGCTCACCGCCCCCGGCCGCCGCCTGTCCGCCCGCCCCGGCTCCGCTCGCTCCGGCTGCGGCGCGTTACTGAGCTGCTGTGTTCGCCGAGACTCAACTTCTCTTCCCTGAGGTTCCACCAGCACCATGTGACCAGCGCGCACGCCATTGGCTGCGAATTATACCCACATTTGCATATTCATGAGGAGGGAGGCGGGTTGAGGAGGGAGGTGCTAGAGGAACCCTGCGCGCGCGCACACCTGTCAGCCCGCCCCGCCCCTCTGCGGGGTTCCCCGCCCTTCGCCCCAGGGGCTGCCCCGCCCGGCCCGGCCCGGCGGCGGGGGGAACCTCCGGGCAGCGGCGCCTCGCGGCCCGCTCTCGGCTCCGGCCCGCGGCACTCACTCCGCACGTCGCTCCCCCGGGCCGAGCCGCCGCCGCCGCCCCCGCCCCACGCCTGCCCGCCGCGGCCTACCCTGGCTGCCCGAGCAGGCGTGGAGCACGGAGTGGAGCAATGGGGCTAATCACCTGTGATATAACCGCTGTGCTCCCGGCCACTGGAGGTTTCACTTAAGCACTAAATCCTCAGCCCTTCCATTTGCTGGTTTCTGGCCAGGCAACAGTTGTCTTCTGGAGTTCCAAAGCGGGACGTGGGGCCCCCACACCCCACCCCGTGCCAGTGGGGCACCCAGCTGAAGGCAGGGCAAACTGCAGCCAAACTTCCGCAGCCAACACGCCGCCATCCCCACACCACACACCGCTCCCCTCTCAGGTGGGGGAATTCAAAACCACCAGGCCTCAGTTCAGGCCGCTCAGCCGGGCCCTGCCATCACAGCCCCAGTGCCAGCGGTGGGCAGCGCATCGGGCAGCATTCGGTGCCTGTCTGCTGGCGGTTACTCGTTTGCTTCCAGGATTGGATCCAAGAATCACAAAAGCAGTGCTGTCAACATGAATCTTAGTTAGCAGTAATTAAGTAGCTAATAATATTTTCCAGTGTTTTTACATGCAAAGGCTCTTTCTGCGTATTTTTTCTCTCTCTTCGTTCAAATAATAAGCAGAGGCACAGTTCTCGCTCTGTTTCTCAAAGCTCCTTGGGCAATAGTTATTTCACAAGACCACAGGTGAACGCTAAAATCCCCATTACAAAGCATTACAAAATGCAAAGGTTGGTAAAGATACCATTACCCATGTTGATCAAAATAATCAGATGTAAACCCAGGTAATTCAGGGATGCATTTGTTCCTTGTGGTCGCAGAAACAATCAGGATACAAGAGAGTGCCAAATCTCCACACTGTTTGCAGAAAGAGGTTCGTGGGGGTTTGTTTTAAAAGCTTCTGCAAATATTTTTCACATCACGTTATCAAAGTATTTAATTGTAGTGTGCTTTAAGTGGATTAATTAATAGTTGAGAAGCAGCTTATTTTGAAAACAAGTACCGTCAAACTTGGAGCCTCTCCATTCCATTATCTAGGCCCTCTCTGTAAGTTACATATCTGTGACTGCAGCTGTGTTTAAAGTTTCTGAATGTTAGCAATCATAGCAGAAATGCCAGGAGGGATAAACAGATAAATAATTTTATGTAAGTATTAGTGCATATCAATGGAGCCAGACTGCAGGAACAGGATTTGAATCTCTACAGATAAGGCAAAAATTCTGATACCATATTTTTTGTACTGCTGCACGTCAGTCTGGAAAGACAGCTCCTAGATAGGAATAGATTTGCTAAGGCCTGAATGGAAAGTAAACTATTGGTAGGAGATGCCAGCTAATACTGTTAGGTTCCTGCACTGAGAACTTGATGAGGCCACCTATGCATTTCTCTCACATCAACCAGATGAAGTCAGAGACTAACTTTTGATTCCAGCTGATCTCAGCCAATTCAAACTGGCAATCCAGGGGCCTCACGTCCTACAGTGTCCTCGAGCCAGGCTGCGTCGCTCAACAATTACAAGTTCATACCCTCACATTTTCATGTTGATTTTTTTTTTCTTAACCCAGACTGCCTGAAATTTGAAAGCCAGTTCTCTCACATTCAAACGTAATATTTAAAGGTCAAGACAAAACACTGTTTCCAGTTTCAGAGGGTGACCTTTCTAAGGGCAGCAGCAGGCAAGGTTCACATACTCTCCCTCTCTTGAGGATTCTGGCTTTCAGAGCTTGCTCCTGCTGGATACCACAAAAGCTACAGTCCAGCAACTTTCTGGGCATTATACAAGTCATTTACTTAAAGAGGTTTTTTTGTTTGTTTGTTTTTAATTATTATTACTGAAAATAATGGACACCACCGTTGCTAACATGCATGAATGCAGTAAGAGCAAGTAGTTCCATACTACTACCACTCTACAGAATTTGCCTTTTTCAGTGCTGACTACTTGGCAACTAAGGTGACAGACATTTGTTACATCTATAAAGTTCAAAGTATTCTTAATTTTCAATTGAAATTACACTCAATTTCTTTAGCTCTGATCATTAAGGAAATTTTCTCTAAGGGGAAATTAACCAGAACAGCTACTGCAGAGTAAGCTCCCCTACAATTAAATATTTTGAAATCACTCCTGTGTAGATACTCTGTCAAACAGTAAAAAGAAGCATTATTTTGTAAGAATGATCAAACAGATCAATTGCATATTTTCCTGCTGCGCCAATAAGTTATTATTTTTCTGTTTCTTGTCCTAACACAGCATAACATCTAAGCTGTGGCATCTAACAGGTTTTAGCTTTAACAAATACTTCTTAACCCTTTTGTATTGCTTCATCTGTTATTTTTTTTTCTCCCCTACTTTCTTATCTGAAAAAGCAACATAGCTGTGAGACTCTAGCCCTGTTCCTTGGGACACCAAAGAACATCAGCACCACTTGGCCATATGAATCTGAGACGTGCTTGATACCTTAGTCAGAAAATATCCATTTAAAATCTGGTTCAACAGCTAAATCCTTCAAACCTCCTTCCACTTATCCGGCTCCCTGTCTTGGTCTTGTAGTACAGCTGCCCTGATGACTTATTTAAAAAGCTTCAAGCCAGAGCAAAAATGGTAACTGTTCAGTAACTGTAAAAACAATAATGAATCCATGGGAAGTTGGGAAGTATAATCCTCATTAACCAGAACAGGAGCTGCCACAGGGCTAAGGGATTTGTGTAGTAGCACATCAGACAAAAGTTTCAGTATTCACAGTGAGATTTTAGAAGTGTTCAGCACTTAGCCAGCCATAAATCTATATTGTCCCTTTCGGAAATATGAAATCTTTGATTTCAATATGAATTTGTGTGCACTCCATCTCTACTAAGATTAAAAATACAAACTTGTGCTAAATAATAACTTTATCCTTCCAAAGCTCTGGTAACTATATGGCAGAGTGGGGGTATAGAGAATTCTATCTGAGATGGCAGAAGCTGAGCAAATTCGAGACCTTTGATATTTTGTGCTCTATCAGGGCTAAATACTCTCACCACTCAGCAGTTTGCCATTCTTGAGCCAGACAATGGAAGAGAACAGGCTTCTTCTGCCACTATGTCACACAGCCCCTTCTGGAAAGAAAAAAAATACAAAAACAAATACAACAACAAAAAGTAGATGAGTATGTTCCAGGACATTGCTCAGCAGCACTTTTTTTTTCCTTTCTGATTTTGTAAGTATGCTACGTGCTTCCACAAACTGTAACTCAGCCCTTAAAGGCTTCTGCCCCCTCCTCTTGCTCCACTTTCCTTTCAGTTATCCCTCCACTAAAGACAAGTCAGTTTGAAAGTCAGTCAGCTTTCTACAACATTTGAAGAGCGTGGGTTTGCAGAGTAGAGGACAGTAACTGAAGCTGAGGTGCAAATCCCACATTACTGTGTGCCTTCAGACTTTGTGTGAACCTCTCATGGCACTTGAATTTCTTTTCACAGGCTTCAGTGAATTCAAAAATTCCATTTTCAGCTGAAGTATAAGAAATAGACCACAGATACATGCCCTGTCTGCAGCCCATTTTCTGCTGATTTATTGACTGTGCATAAATACAGCACTATAACTGTCATATTTAACCACAAAAGAGAAAGCTCTATGCTCAGGAAAATAATTCAAGGAACATCTGAGAGTTTCATTAAGTCATGTCATCTCTTCCATGCAGTAAAAGATGCCTTTTAGTGAAGGGGAAGAGTCCAGCCAGCATTGTTTCCTCTCTCTCTCTCTCTCCCTCTCCCACCCCAAACCCACAGTTTAAGCCTTTGCTGTACATTACAGAGGCCAGGAAGGTGGGCAAGGTTGCATTTCAGTTCTGTTGCAACCACACTGAGGAGAGATGTGAACCTCCAGCTACACTCCTTGCCACACAGCCATTCCTAGAAAGCTGCTGCCAGCAGGGCAGCAACAGTGCACAAACACAGCTCCACAAAACAGACTGAACTGTCCTGTCTTTGGCTCTTTCAGGAAAGAAAGCACAATCCTCAGGCCCTCACGGGGCTGCCAGCTGCATCCACCAAAGAGTATCATGGTCCAGAGGGCTCCCAAGTGTCTCTGCAAGGTTTCCACGTGAACACAGCTGACACTGCCTGTGGTCCAAAGGTAAAAGACAGATCACCACTACCTGCATAACAGCAGGTACAGTTTAATTTCTATTTTGCTTTAAAGACCAGTGAGAAGGCTATGAAGAAGTGAATTGATTGCATAAGATGGTGGATCGTTTTGCAATAGTGGTAGATAAGCAAAACTCTGACAAAATGTCTCCGAGGAGAAGCTTTGAACAGCAAAACATGCTGTAACAAACTTCCAGAGGCTCTCCATATGAGAGCTGATTTCAAAGTCCAACAATCCCTCCAGAGAAGAAACAACATTCAGAAAGTTTGAAGCAGTAACAGAAAGCAACAACAAACAAAAACCATCCTGACTACTGGAAAAGAAACTGAAACAGTAAGTATAGCAAGCTGGAGAAATGAGTTACTGTGAACGTGAAGATGAGAAAAAGAAATTAGAATACTGCACATATCTATGCATCCGCAGAGAGGTACAAAATCAAAAATACGTGCCTCAGCTCCATGCATCTTTGTGATCAAACTGCAAATAGCATCAGATTAAGACCCTGCAAATCTCACTGAGTTTTCCCAACAAAGATTATCATCTCTTATGCATGCTGGGAGACAACAGAGAAAAGAACAGAAGGATTTCTGGTGGCCTGAGGCAGGAGCTGTGTGTAGCAGGCAGTCACAGCCACAACAAGCAGGGGCTCAGAGGCTGGAGGAGCCCTGGGGATGCTCTGACCTGTAGGTGCGTTTGAATTGACAGCCAGCCAAGAACTGTGAGAAATTCCCCGTTACTTCCTTTTACTGGTCTTATGCTAAATGTTGCTAAGCTGTACCTGGGAACTGGGCCAAAGCAGCTTGAGAATCTTTGGGTGAAAGGCATTATATTAAATATATATATATATATATATATATATATATATAAATCTGGAGTAGTACCCATGTGGAAAGCAGCAATATGAACTACATGAACGTGCAAAGTAACAAGATTTGTTTTTTATTACATTCTACGAGGCAAAATACAAGATAGACAAAGAACACTCACATACGCTGGGGATCTACTCTGAACTGAGAGACTTTACCATAAAGGTAAAGCCACACCTGTTTCATTCCTGGACACAGTTATGGCTCTCTACTATATCATCTATGCACGTCTTGCCTGCAAGAGAAGTTACCCCTTACAGCTTTCAAATGTATCTCCAACAGAGAAAGTTTACCTGATGGTGCGTTCCACATCCTGCCTGCACCTGATCCAAAGCACACCAAGCCCACTGCAAGTCTCAGGGAGCCCCAAATTCTGTACATACCCATGACTCTGCTTTTGGTCTGTGAGTCACTCTTCAGCCCTCAGCATCATTTCAGTCCACAGGGGAACACCCACTATCCCCAGCCAGCACAGAGATGGGGCACAAGGTAGTGTCTCAGAAAAAACATCACTTTAATAGGTCATCATTTTCACCTTGCTGAAATTGAATTTTTTAATGGCCTCAATACATTTATCATTATTTAGTTGTCAAGAAAACAAAACTACAACAAAGCAAACAAACAAAAACAACACAAAGCTACTACAGAAAACACTGTGTAACGAAAATGCTTATGGTAAAATACAAGCATTTAGAAAATGTTATTTTTTCCCCAGAAGAGTTCAGAATTTTATCCGAATGACTGTTTTTCACAGAAGATGGTTAAAGAAACAGAGGATTATCTACACAAAGCACAAGCTTTAGTGCTACATAAGCTCCTACTGTTCCTCCTACAGACCTTCAACCAGCATCTTCTGCAGCTACCTGGCCTTCCTGCCTTGGTTTCCCCAAGCTGCACAATGACTTATTTTGCTGCTATCACTCCTCACCCTGCCCCCAGTCTGAAAGCCACTCAAAACTGTGCCAAGCCCTCAGTAAAAAGACAAGAAATCAACCCTGCCCTGTAGTTCTCTCAAGCTAATTTCAGACATGATCTAATGAGTGGGTGGTAACAAAACAACAAGGCGGGACAGGAGAGAAAGGCCCAAGAAGCACTGCTGGCGTTAGAAGGAAACTCAGCAAAAAGCAAGTGTACAGGAGAACAAAACAAAGGTTCTTAATTAGTCAATAATCAGTTTTATTTTAGATAACCAAGGAAGAGGAGGGAAAGGCTCACCTCCTTAAGTATCCGGTAGGTGTTTGGAACAAGTTTCCAGTAAAAGCATAATCAGAGATAAAACCTTTGTCTTGTTAGACCAGCTCCACACATAGGGTGACACGATGAAAGGAGATGGCAGGAGCAGGCAGTGAGGTGCAGCAGGACTGCCAGCAGCACAGACCACACGGGAAACTCACAGAACTGAGACACGGCAGCAAAGGTGTGCAGAGTTTTGAAGAGCTTGAACCTGATGCAGTGGGACACACACAATAAAAGGCACAAGGTGGAATACTGCAAGTCTGCCAGAATGAAAGGACAGCAAGGTGTTCCTAGCAGATGCTTTCCCATGAGTCTGAAGACACCTGCATTTGCCTTTCTCAAACTGGATATTTATGCCAGATGGGAACATAGAGAAGAGAGCAACTTTTTATTTAGTTTTTTATCTCCTTCTCTTTCTCTTAAGATTTACCGTGTCAGAAGATGCAGCACTGACTCTGGACTAAATGGGGAGGGAAAAAAAAGCCACAAAGAAAAAAACAAACAAAAAGAAAAAAGCCAACAACCCACACATTCTGCTCTCTGTTCCTGTTTAGCTCTGCTGACGTTGCTCAGTACAGCCTTACTGAACTTCCTGATCTCTCAGGTCCCAATTTTGTCACATCCTTGCACTCAATCAAATTCTGCGTATTAAGCTTGAAGGTTTGTTGGCAGTTAAGAGGACTTCAAATCCAGACATTTCTCCTGTTTACTTGCCGTGTGCTCTTATCTACTTTAGGATATGAATGCAACCTCAAATTGGAGAGGTTTAAAGAGCAGTTTTCTCTTCCTTTCAGAAACTTTTGGCAACTTCTAGGAGCTGAAGGCTAATTATTTTAGCACAAAGAGGGACCAAATAATCTTTTAATATGGTATTCCTGTATAAGGTTTCCTCAGCACTTCTACCTGAGAGAAAGAAGAAAGAGCAGTAATAAGAAGTCTACATTTATCTTTTTGAGGTACAGAACAGCTTCACTACAAGAAGGAATTAAATAGGCACAAGCTCTTCAGGTTGGAAAAAAAAAAATGACTGCAGAGAGAAGTGATAGCAGTCTATAAAATCCTGAATGGAGATGGGAGATGCAGTGTAACTGTTTGCTTTCTCTTCTAGTATAAAAGCTGAAGGAGCATCCAACAAAGTCATTACGCAGCAGGTTTAAAACCAACACACCCAAAAGAAAGCACTCTTTGGTGCAGTCCATCGTTACACAGTGGCAGTCATTGCTTCAAGAGATTGCGGAGGCTAAAAACGGATTTTAAAAGACATCACACAAATTCATGGACAGTGTGATCAACAGCAAATAAATACAGTTTACAATACTGTAAATGAAACTTCTGGGTTTTCCCAGAGCCTTTACCACACTGATCTCCCAAAGCCAGGAGGATACACAGGATACACCAAGCCAAGATGTTTGTGCACGTGCACTTTTTCTTCATCTCTCACCATCTGCCACTGGCTGTTCCTGGAAACAGCGTGGCAGTTCCTGTTGCTCAGTGCAGAGCTACAAGGCCAAGTGTTGCATGTTAGTAACGAGTGGTCAAGAGTTCTCTGCATTCTCCTGCTTGGCTCTTTCCTATCTTCTGGCAGCCTTTCTCTTAAAGTAGAAGATACTTCTGGCAAAGCTTCACACTCCAACCAACCATTGTCCCTGCAGCAAAGATACTAGCAATTGTGTAGAGAGAATGTAGCATTCACTCTTTCCAGTTAAGTGCAAATCTCGCATTAAAACAAGGAAAAATGTAATTTATGTTTTTGCATTTAATTGTGGCCTCTGTATCTCATATTCAGTTTTGAAAGAGAAGACATTGCAGCTGCCCTCCATTCTCAGTAAAAAAAAAAAAAGTTCCAATCCTCAGTAACAATTTGATGCTCT